TTCCGAGGCAGTATCACTACGGAAGTAGGATTGCCCAACCTTCCTTCCGAGGAGTGGCTGGTGGGTTTGAACCGCCAGCCGTCTGGTTAGCAGGCAATTGTCTTAGCCACTATGCTCGGCCTAGTCTTTTAAAAAAGTGAAAGCCATAAAGAAAAGGGATAAAGAACTGCTCTAGATTAAAAGACTAAAGAACCATAATAATTAAAAGTAGTGTATGAACCTTGATTAGATGATCCTGAATCACAAAAGGAAACACTTTTTGAAATAAAGACATTTTTGGGATAACTGGGAAACCTGAGTATGTTAATCTTTCTTTCCTTGGTGTGATAATTTTACTAAGGCTTGGTAACAATGTCCTTCAAATGTATACTGAAGAAATTAGGATTAAAGGTCATGGTATTTGCAATTTACTTGCAAATGGTTCAGCAAAAAAAAAAAAGTATATATATGGAAAAAGAAAGGAAATGAAAAAAATTTAACAAAAAAAGACACCAAGAAAGAAAAAAATCTTGTGAGTCATTTTTTTTTTTTTTTTTTGCTGTTGTTGTTCCAGGACTATTAATGCCTTTTAATTCATCAGTCTATTGTCTAAATTCATTTGAACTTAAGTTGTTGGATTAATGTAATAGGCCTCTACCACATATTTCTTCATTTTAGCTTATTTACAGCAGGTTCGGGAAGCTGTCTGATTTACTAGCAACCCTAACTCACTAACCACAGCAAACCAAAACCAAACCCACTACTGTGGAGCCAATTCCAAATGACAGCGACTCTGTAGGGCACAGTAGAAGTGCCCCATAGGATTTCAAAGGCTGTAAGTTTTTAAGGAGGCAGACAGACTCAGACCTTTTTCCAGAGACTGGTGGGTTCCAATCACTGACCTTTTGGCTCGCAGCTGAGTGCTTTAACCAGTGTATTACTAGGGGTCCTCCATCATTAACAGGAGAGGGAAAATATACAGTTGAAAGATTACTGATTCCTGCTTTCAGATTGAAAGGCTGGCTTCAAAGAAATCAAGGATCAATCTGGGACCCTGCTTAGGTTTTACACACAGGTCTGCTATTAAATGTGTAGTATTAAATGGTCGCTATTAGTCGAAATCAACTTGATGGCACACTACAAGATCCAAGTCTTTTTTTTTTTTTTTTAATTAAACACATTTTATTGAGCCTATCTAGCAGGTGGAGGTCTTTTCAGAGTTCGGAGACTAGAGAGGAAAGATCACTTTTTCTTTAACACCTAGAAATTAAGGGAGTTAAGACTCCAAGGTCTCTTGCAACTCTGACATTGTAATTCCGTCCTTTAATTTACCTGTATTATACACGAAATTGTGAATAAACAGGTACTGCCTAAGAACATAGTAATGAAGGGGAAAATACAAGGGCAATAAGAAATAATGATAATTACAGAAATTCATCAAGATAAAAATAATTAAGGATTTCGTCAAAGCTGGGCTCCTTAAAGTCTTTTTTAACCTCGAGATTTCTTGTATGACACTAGACAGCTAGCTGAGATATAATGTAGGTACTTTCCAGTTTCTCTCTCTGTGTCCTGAAACAAGATCCCTACTCCCCAAACTGGGGGTGGCTCAGAGCCTCAAATTTACCCCCACCATAAGGGCACAGTCCCTGGGTAAGTCTCGAACTAGGCCTACGGATAACCCTGCCCGGCTCCGCAGCCTCCCACAGCCCAACGGACACGCGGCGGCCTTCTCGAGAGACCTCGCCAATTTTCTGGAGCGTAGCCTGCCGCCCCCCGCCGGGGAACCCGGGATTCTGAGGGCAGAGAAAAAAAAAACCATACTTAATCACAGACTCTCGCTTTCGACACCTGTACGAGGCTGGGGGCTGCGCTGCCAGTCGAGTCTGTGGGCGGAGGGCCAGGGTCAATGCGGGCTCCGCGGCCGCTGGATGGGAGAGAACACGTGGGAGCGGCGATGGCAAATAGAACAAAGACCTTTCGAGGCCGATTCGTTACAGCATCGAGAAATCTAGAGGGAAGAGATGATAAAACCAGAGAATTACAAAATATCATTATAATTAATTTTTTATGATTTTTTGCTTAAATATTTCTCTCTACTCCTGACTTCCTCTCAGATAACCTTCAGAATCTGTCCAAACTGTTTGGTAGACTAATTTACTTAATCCCACGGCCCTAACGGTCCCCAGGAGCTACACTGTGAACACTCCCTAAGAAACAAGAATGTTAACAGATTGGGAGATGTGCAAGCTTTCAATGAGTCGCCTGGGTTTTAGTGCTGAAGTCTTATGGGGCAATGTGCTGCCTTAAAAAAACAACACTATAACATTCACACTTGTTTCAGGACTTAAACGTTAGGAGTTTGTTGCCACCCGGAGAGGGATGGGAGAGCACCGCAAAGCGCTGAGCTTTCTGGTTGGGTGTTTTAGACGCTTTTCTTGGCACGCATGCGTGTTGTGTCCCACGGGCGGGCTTAAAGGGAAGTGGGTGTGGCCCCCCGGGCAACAGAAGCTGTTATTTGGTTGGACTGGTGACTAGGAGGTTGCGGGGCTTTCTGGAGACTTGGAGGGGTGACTATAGACGTTGGATGATTGCATGTGGAGGGGTGTGTGAAACTCTGACTGAAGAAAGCTACTAAGCTTCTGATATGTGTGGCTTGTTTTGTGTGTTTGCTTTTTAGTATTTCGTTTTTTATTTGCTTGACTACCTCTTCACAAAGCTTAACCCCGCCTCCACATCTGTTTGATTTTACACTGCCAGCTTTCGGGTTACGGAGTGCATTGAGTCTTAGGATGGTGATTATTGCTTTTGTGGCTATTCTCTTACCATTTTAATTTTCAGATTCATTGGCATGGTGCATTAATAAACTGAAATTAATAGGTAAATATGACTTTTTAGTCGTTCGTAATCCTGTATTAAATACAAAAATGTAAACTTCCAGTTTTGTGGATATTCTATTTAGACATCGTTTATTTAAAAGTTGATTGCATGTTCAAAAATTATTTTTGAAATTCATTTTATCGTACTACCCGTCTCATGTGCTCTTCCCCCGTTCCTCTTCTGCCTCAGTCCTCAAAGCGATTAAAATTTTGTTCTGAAGTCTGAGGAACCAGAAGAAAGTTCTCTCATTCAGAACTGTGCTATTTTTTATTACCAACAATATGAAAGGCTCTGAAATTAGCCCAGAAAAGAAAAAAAAAGTGCAAATACCAGCTAGGAGACTTCGTGAGGTCGTTTCTCCAAATCTGGGAGATAATTTGACTTTGCTGAAAGATGAGTTGCCTTGTGTTCCTCCTGCGTTGTCTGCAAATAAACGTCTTCCTATGAAAACGAGGAATGGCTTGAATGGAACACTACACGGTATGTGATTTCGTGGAGGTTTTCACCCAATTTTCAATGTGGCAAGTATTAAGTACTTTATTTTCACTGCCTTTCTCGTGTTTCAAAATTTAAAGTATTCCTGATGCTTAAATTTGGAAGCGTAAAATAAGTCTAGTTTATACAGTTGTTTGAAACTCACCTCTTTCCCTGGAAAATGACCAGGCATGGATAGTCTGCAAAGTATTGAATGGGTTGAATGAATGAAACTTTTAACATTCTCATTTATGCCTTTTCTGAGTGCGATTTTTCCACAGCACAGCGTTCTTCCCATCTCTGTTGAACACACTTAATCTGTATAATAGGCCTAATTTTTACCAGTTGTGCTTTTTATCAAATGCTCTACTTCTGTTTGGATGAGGCTATCTAGTTTGACATGGTAGAAAAGGATGACTTCTGCTATTTGATGGCTCCTTGTTCCAAGTCACTTAACATGTCTGGAGCTCAGTAAAAAGTCCATGATAATTATAAGGATCAAATTAATGAATATGTGTGCAAGAACAACAAAATACTTTTATAATGCTGTTTTATATCATTCAATATTTTGCTCATAGAATCTTTCAGTATTGCAACTCAAGGCTTGAATTTTTTTCTTCAGTTCTTTCAGCTTGAGATATGTTAGGCATGTTCTTGCCTTTTGGTTTTCTAACTCCAGGTCTTTGCACATTTCATTATAATAATTGATTTTGCCTTCTTGAGCTGCTCTTTGAAATCTTTGTTCAGCTCTTTTATTTTTTCATTTTTTTTCCTTTTGCTTTAGCTACTCTCTGTTCAAGAGCAATTTTAAGAGTCTCTTCTGACATCAAAAAGATCTTCTCTTTCTTTACTGTTTTTTAATGACCTTTTGCTTTCTTCATGTTTGATGTTCTTGATATCATCCCTCAGCTTGTCTGGTTTTTGGTCAGTGGTGCTGAATGCATCAAATATGTCCTCTCTAAATTCTGGTGGGATATAATGAAGGTCATATTTTGGCTTTCATGAACTTGTAATTTTTTTCATTTTCAGCTTGAACTTGCATGTGAGCAATTGATAGTCCTTTCCACAGTCAGGTCCTGGCTTTGTTTTGGCCAAAGATCCTAAGCTGCTACATCACTTTTTCCACAGATACAGTTGATCTGTTTTCTTTGTATTCCGTCTTGCGAGGTCCACGTGTATAGTCATCATTTATGTTGTTGGTAAAAGGTATTTCCAATGAATAAGTCGCTGGTCTTGCAAAATTCTATCATGTAATCTCTGGCATCATTTCTATCATCAAGGCCATATTTTCCCAACTACCAATGATTCTTCTTTGTTTCCAGCTTTCACATTTCAGTCACCAGTAATCGTCAATACGTCTTGATTGCATATTTGGTCAATTTCAGACTGCAGAAGTTGGTAAAAATGTTTGATTTATTCATCTTTGGCTTTAGTGATTGATACACAGATTTGAATAATATAGTATTAACTGGTCTGACAGCATTGTATTCTAGGATAGATCTTGAAATATTCTTTGTGATGATGAGTGTGATGCCATTCCTCTTCAGTGTCTTTGCCAGCATAATAGATCACATGGTTGTCTGATTCAAAATGGCCAATACCAGTCCATTTCAGCCACTTATGCCTAGGATATCGATCTTTATGTGTTCCATTTCATTTTTGACAACTTCCAGTTTTCCTAGATGTATATTTCATACATTCCACATTCCTATTATTAATGGATGTTTGCAGCTGTTTCTTCCCATTTTGAGTTGTGCCCCATCAGCAAATGGAGGTCCTGAAAGCTTTACTCCATCTCATCATTAAGGTCAACTCTACTTTGAGGAGGCAGCTCTTCCTCAGTTGTGTTTTGAGGGGCTCATCATCTGACACTGTATCAGACAGTGTTTCATAATAGATGACATGGTTGTCTGATTCAAAATGGCCAATACCAGTCCATTTCAGCCACTTATGCCTAGGATATCGATCTTCTGTTCGTCAAGTTTTCCAGTAATGTATCAGACAGTGTTTCACTGCTGTTCATAAGGTTTTCACTGGCCAGTTCTTTGAGAAGTGAATGGCCCTTTCTTTCTGCCCAGTCTGTCTTAGTTTGGAAGCTCCGCTGAAACCTGTCTACCATTGGTGATCCTGCTGGTATTTGAAACACTAGTGGCAAAACCTCCAACCTTATAGCAACACACAAGCTACCACAATGTGACAACTGGCAGATGAGTGGTGGAAACTGCCTTACCATATTTTAAAGAAACTATTTTCATGTTTTTATTAGTTTTCCTTCAGGTAAATTGATAGAATTGATTTTTAGGCATTAACAGCCTCATCATTTTTTCTTATTTTCATTGTTAATTAGTTTTTCCTTTCAAATTGAGCTGTCAATAGTGTCTCTAAAATCCAGAAAAGTGTTTGCAATGGTAAAGGTAGTTTTGTAATTGTAAACCTACAGTGTAGATTTAGTAGTAGATATCTGTTTATTATTGTTTGCCATCAAGTCTATACCTACTCATAGTGACCCCATATGACAGTAGAACTGCCTCCTAAGGTTTACTTGGCTGTAATCTTTATAGAAGTAGATCACCAGGTCTTTCTCCCATGGAGACACTGGGTGGGTTTGAACCATCAGCCTTTCTGTTAGCAACTGAACACTTAACCGCTGGGTCACCAGTGCTCCTTAGATATCTGTTTATAAATTCTAGATTCAAGTTTTTATCTGACCAAAGGCAACTTTGGTCAGATAATAGATTTAAAAGGTACTTTGAGAAGTTTTACTTATATAACAATTAATATGTTTTAAAGCAATTGGTTTTATTTTATTCTAAGCAATTTTTTCTTTAGATCTTAAGCAAGTGTCTCCAATTTGGTCCCAGGTTTTGTTGATAGAACTTTTTTCCCCCCGAGGTTATGACTGTTACATTATTAATTAATCACTTAATTTGCATTGATAAAATTAAATACACTTAATTTTATATTGATAAATCATATTACTAAATACCTGAACATTCTTTTCAGTTTAAAATGTTTTTCTTTGGTAGCATATTGAAATTGAATACATTTTCAGGGATCTGAAGTATATTTTTCTGTCTTGATTTTGCAGCAGATGATATATTTATTTCTCAGTATACCATGGGACAGAAGGATGCACTAAGAGAAGTTTTAAAGCAAAAGTAAGTTTCATTTACAGAAAATAGGTGAACCATTTATTGTTTTCTTATGTGTTTCTCCCAAGTCATCCTCATTATATGTTGGCTATAGTGAAAATCTTCTTTCACTATGTGCAGTAGTAATATGTATAAAGTATCTCACATGGTGCTAGGCACATCTGAGGTACTCAGTATCTGTTCACTGTTATTATAGAAGAGGTAATGTTCTAAGCACTGCATGTGCATTATCTCATTTAATATCCTTAAAACATATGGAATAGATTCTGTTACCACCCTTATTTTACAGAATCCCCATTGTATACATGAGGAAACTGAGGCACAGAAAAGTTGATTTCTCCAAGATCATTTAGCAAGTGGTTATTGGGCTAAGATTCAAACAGGTAGTCTGCCTTTAGAGCCTACTCTCTTAACCACTTCACTATACTGCTTGTCATAATGGCTAAGTAGATCCTAGTGCATAATACTTAGAAATGTGAAAGTAAATTTAGACTTTTCTGGCCAAGACTAAGGAGCTCTGCTGGCACAGTGGTCAAGATATTTGGCTGGTAACCAAAAAGTCAGCAGTTCAAACCCACCAGCCACTCTGTGGGGGAGAGATGACACAGTTTGCTTCCATAAAGATTTACAGCCTTACAAATCCTATGGGACAGTTTTACTCTGTCCTATAGGGTCACTGTGAGTTGCAGTCAACTCAGTGGCAGTGGGTTTGGCTAAGATCTGACAAGTTTAATACCTAGGTGGAGGGAAAGGAGATCATGGCTACTCTACCTAAATGCCCCTCCCACCTTTAAGTACCAATGGAATACAGAACTAAACCTAATAAGAGCACCATGATAAGCCTGTCATTATCATTTGACCTGGTAATTCTATTGTGAATCTATTATAATAATAGAAATTCAGTATATAATTTATACACAACAGTGTTTATCAAAGATTATGTAGATATACAAGAGCAGGAAATAAATTTTCATTATTGGGAAATAATTAAATCAGTTATGATACACACATATGATGGATCAGTAGTTCTCAAAGTGTGATCTCATGACCATTATTCATTTGTCTATGAAGAAAATTTTAGATTTCTAAAGGGTGGTGAAATGTATGTGGGGTGCTTTTTAAGCAAGTAAAAACTAGAAGAATGATACAGTTTGGAAGAGGTAATGATGTTTTATATTAGAAAGAAAAAGGAAAGGAGAAATGCTAATCTGGTAGTGAAAGGTATGGTGTTGTGGGAGATCTCTGGCAATTTGGCCCTACCTCTGCTACTTCCTGATTCTGTGATTTTTAAGTAAATCCCATTACTTCTATAGGCCTCAGTTTTCTTCATCTGTAAAACTAGGGCATCAGAATACCAAAAACCCAAACCTGCTGCTATCAAGTTGATTGTGACTCATAGCAACCCCTATGGGGTTTCCAAGGCTGTAAATCTTTATGGAAGCACAGAGCCTCATCTTTTTCCTGTGAAGTGTCTGGTGGGTTCAAACTGCCAAGCTTTTGGTTAGCAGCCTCATGCCTTAACTAGCGCCACCAGCGCTTCCCAGTGAATTAGAACAGATGACTTCTAAAATTCCGCCAATCTCTGTAATTCCATGACATGTTCTTGCAATTGTGATGAAATAACTGACAAAACTTAATGACACAGTTGGCTGTAAGAAGGTAAGCAGAGATAGAGAAGTCAGGATGACTTCAAAATTTTGAGACTGAGAGAAAAGTGATACCCTTAATAGAAATGGGAAAATACCAACGAGGAGTAAGTTTAGGAGCGCTTTCCTTCATCAGAAATCAAGAGGGGAAAATGCAGCAGGTGGAGGTGGAGTGCTGTCCTTTCAATTTTACTTAGATTTACCTAGGGACTCCAATTTTGTCAATGGTTCTTTTTATTGTGTTCTTTTAGACCTAAAACAGTAAAATTGGCCAGCCATTTTCTTTAGCATTTAGTTAAATGCCTTACTGCAAATATGTATTTATTGACTGGACTCTTTTTTAATCCAGGCTATTTAATATGGTGTTTTGTGCCCATTTTAATTAACTGGGTGACATTTATTCAATAAATGAGCTAAAATCCAGAAAATCCCTTTCAGCAGTTTTAACAGTTTTTCTTGCGCTGTCTTCCTTTGGGAGTAAAATGTGATACTTGAATCTTTAGAGCTTTTTCTGTGTGTTTTAAATTTATATTTCTTGATTATGTATCTTTTTAATTTTGCCTATGTCTTTCATATGTGTAAGTTTTCTTTTCTGAAATAATATCCTTGCCCTTAAGGAAATATCTTTGTATTTCTTTAGTTCAGACACTTTGACCTGAGCTTAACACATTTCCTTAACCAAAGACTTTGTCTGATATGATTCTAATAGGGAAAGAACAGGTGACTTAGTTTAAAACAAAAAACAAGAAAACTCACCTTTAACAGAGTACCATTTGTTGATTTTTCTTGAAATTATTCAATGTACCTTACTGAATATATTTATTTTCCTTTTTTATTTTCAGAACTCAAAGCATGCCTATTTTTAAGGAAGTAAAGGTACAGCTTTTAGAAGATGTAGGCACAGAAAAGGACACTGTTACTCAGGAGACTGGAACATCACCCAGTGGAATTGATTCAGCTGCAACTGTGGCTGCAGCAACTGCCGCCGCCATTGCAACAGCAGCTCCACTGATAAAAGTACATTTTTCTCCACAGATATCCAGAACTATTTTGTAAACTGTAAAAGCATGTATTAAGAACTGAGTCTTTACATGGTTGTATTTTAGTTGCATTTAGTTGAACATTTTAGTTGCTCTCAATTTGAAAGACTTTTCTTAACTTATGATTGTATTTACTTTTCAGAATTGTGAGAATTACCCCCTCATCACTGTTATAGTTAACCAGGATTTCTGTGATGGGTGATAGTTAACTCAAGACTTTCCAGTTTTAACACTGAAAGTCCCACATCCTAGGAAACCCTTCAGTCCCAGATAACCTGAGATGATTGGTCAACTTATTTTTAGAGCTAGAAGGGACCTTAGAGATAATCTGTGCTAACCCCTTCAGTTTGCAAATAGAGAAACAGAAAGAAGTCAGAATAGGTAGAGTGTCTTAGAACTAATAGGTGACACAAGCAAAACTAGATAGAACTCAGGGCTGCTGACCTAACTCATCTTTACATTGTTGTTGTTATGTGCCGTCGAGTCAAACCCGACTCATAGTGACCCCTCCTTGGGTTTCCGAGGCAGTATCACTATGGAAATAGGATTGCCCAACCTTCCTTCCGAGGAGTGGCTGGTGGGTTTGAACCGCCAGCCGTCTGGTTAGGAGGCAAGTGTCTTAGCCACTATGCTACCAGAGCTCCCCATCTTTACATTAGGAAAGTATCAAAAGCTACTTTGTTTTGCTTTTTTCTTCTTTTTTAATTTCCATTAAAATAAGTATTGTATTTGTGGCATTATAAAATTCTAGGTGGCAAATTTGGTATAATTTCTTTTTTAAGAAGAGGAATCATCTACCTAAGGATGGCTACTCCTTCCTTTTTATTTATGTGACTGAAAATAAAGGCATTGGATCTTCAAATATCAGGAGATAAAAGCTTTGGCTTGAGCATTTCTTAATACTAATTGTCTTAAATAACTTCTTGTAATTGAATGTATTTTAGATATCTATGATATTATTCTGCTGTTTTAATTTTAGGTACAGAGTGATTTGGAAGCAAAAGTAAATTCTGTTACAGAATTACTTAATAAGTTACAGGAGACTGATAAACAGTTGCAGCGTGTTACAGAGCAGCAAACAAACATTCAGAATAAACATGAGAAACTTCATTGTCATGATCATGAAAAGCAAATGAATGTGTTTATGGAGCAGCACATTAGGCATCTTGAAAAACTGCAGCAACAACAAATAGATATTCAGGTAGGTATAATAAAGCTAGTACACAATGCATGATCTTTTATTACTTAAATCTCTAAGCTAATATTCACTGGTTATTGAAGTAGCTCATTAGATTTTAATTGTATTAGTTTTCAAATAATGGTTTGGTTGTTTATCAGTCTTGCCCTCTGTGCACAAGCTCTGCAAGTTCTTTCTGAAATGTTACTAGTTCTGTGAGACCTCTCCCTATGGTTGATTTCTTATTTTGTAGTATTTTTATTCATACCATTTTAAAGTGCTTATATTACATTGCAATAATTAGTTTATATCAGTGCTTCTTAATCTGGGAGTGTGCATCATAATTACTTGAGAGTGTTATAAAAATACACATGTTAGGGTTTGTGGTAGTTAAGTTTGTGTGTCAACTTGGCTGGCCCTGGTTGAGTGGCTGGGCAGCTGGATGTATTATTTTCCATGATGAGACTGGTAATCAACTCCATGGTGGAATCTACTGTGAGCAGCTGAGTAGCTGCCCTTGGGTATGTGGTCTGCTTCCTGTATATAAGAAACAGCTTTGAGAATGGTCTCTAGCTTATGGCACTCTTGAACCCTGCATGTAGCCGTGTCATTGTTCAGTGGCCTGCCATGCTCTGCCAACCTTGGAAGTTTCAATGGACTTGAATTAATGACCTGCCGTGTGATTTGGTAACATTGGGACTGTGCCTTTTTACTCATCAACCTTGGGCTTGTCAGTCTCAGCAGCCAGCAGCTGTCTGAGTGAAGAAAAGCCTCTAGCTTCAGTGGGCCAGGAACAGAAGGCAGAGCTGAAGCCCAAAGTTGAGGGGCTTTCACCCAGCCCCTAGAGCCTGGCACTTTGAACTTGGACTTAAAGCCTCCAAACTGTAAGAGAATAAACTCCTGTTTGTTCAAGCTTCCCATTTGTGGTATATTCTTGTCAGAGAGGCACTAGGTAACCAGAACAGAGCCTCAGAGATTCTGAGTCAATATGTCTAGGGTGGGGCCTAGGAACTGTGGAAAGCTCTCTAATGATTCTGATTCACACCCTTGGATGAGAACTACCTGGTTTACATACTTGCTCCCCCATTTGATCAGTTTAAGGAGCTCTGGTGGCATAGTAGATAAGGCATTTGGCTGCTAACCAGAAGGTCAGCGGTTCAAATCCACCAGCTGCTCTGCAGAAGGATGAGGGAGCGATCTACTTCTGTAAAGATCTGTAGCCTTGGAAACCCAACGGAGGTTTCTATGAGTCGTATTCGACTTGATGGCAGTGAGTTTGATTTTTTTTTGGTATTTAATCAGTTTAAAGAAAAAACATTTATATACTGCCTTTTGAGTACTAGACACTGGGGTATTATAAAAAGGAGAGTTGTCTCTGCAAGGAACTGATAGTATAATATTTATTTTTGGGATTTCATAGGCTTGGTACACTACAGATGACAAAACAGATGAGACAGATTCAACTAACAAACATGAGAAACTTATGGTACACTACACTACCAGTAAACTTGTTTTGAATGAATGAATGAGCAGCATTGTAAGTGGATTGAATAGAATTTACTTCCTCCATCACCCAGATTTATGTATACTTTTTTTTTTTTTTAAACCTAATCACTTTTTTTTTATTGTGATTTGGGTGGAAGTTTACAGAGCAAATTTACTTTCCATACAGCACCACACATACACGTTGTCTCAAGACATTGACTACAGTTTATCAGAATGCAACAGCTCCCCTCCCACTTCCTCCCAATAGTTAATTTATGTATACTTTTATAAATTAAAATAGAACATTCAGAAGATAGTACAAAAATAAATTTATTATAGTCCAATATGTTACTACAAAGTGAACATTAACGTACTATAATTTACAGGACTTCTTAACAAGGCTTGCCTTGAACTTTTCATGTAGTTGAAGATAGTATTTTTATTGGAGTGACTGTAAAATTTTAATAAGTGGAATCATACATGACTGAAATTGAGGGTGTAGCATGATATATGGTGAGAAGCTGGGAATGAGTCTACCAGAGCGTGCTGGTTGCCTCTTTGCAAATAACTACTCTGTGAGCCTTGATTTCTTTTATGTAAAAAACATTCTTTGATTGTTGTTGAGGATAAAAATAAGGTGACACATTTGAAAAGCACATTGATTTCTTAAGGAGAGGGACTTAAGTCCTAAGTGACTGTTGCCATCTATCCATTCTTTTATAGATAAATCCATAATTTATCGACATCCTGATTTTAGAATAGAATTTTTGGTAATTCAGACCTCTTATTTGCAAAGCTAATTACAAAGAAAGTGGAAGTCATGGAGATAGGCTCGGTATACTAGCAGTTCAGTAAATGCTTAATGATGTGAAATTAGTTGAATCTGTCTCATCTGTTTTATATGGAGGGATCTTGACACACTTTTGAGAAAAGTTTTAATAGCTGAGATGCTTGGATATTCCATATATTTTAAGTAGTACTGAAAATTGTGCTGCCATAGTTTTCATTTATATATAAATGCACATATTATTATTTCTGCTGCTAAGCATGGCTAGTATTTATTCGAGTGCTTATTATCAGTTTTTAAACCTTCAGACAAAATCTTACCATCTAATGTATAAATATAGGATGTTTTGGTTTTAACTATTGTGTTTAAGTGCAATTCTAGGGCTAGGGCCCGTCCTCTTGGTTGTCTCCTAGCCTTCTGTAGTGGCCCCTGAGGCATCACTGAAGTAGAAGGGAAGAAACTAAGTTTTAGAATAGTTAAGTAAAATTATCAAGGTCACAGAGCAGAGCCAGGCATAAGCCAGGTCTTTGTAATACTACATCTGTCTGTAGCATCTCTGCTACTATGAATAGTTGCAATGTAATACATAGATATATTTTCATTGTTTATTAAATGTAATAAATTGTTTCTAAGTCTTCTAATAAATTTTAACATATTTTGCAATATAACTCTTTTGAAATGGTATTACTTGATATTAATAAAATAATTTATGTCTTCTAGACTCATTTTATTAGTGCTGCACTCAAGACTAATAGTTTTCAGCCTGCTAGTATACCTGCTTTCAAAGCAGTTGAAAAGTATTCTGTGGAAGCAGAGCATCCTAATCTTAGTAGCAGTAATGTATCTTCACATAACGCATTCATTTTCAAACAAGGTAAATATATAGTTCTCTAATTAATAAAAGATGTCACTTAGGAATTTTCTTTGTGTCATATAAGCTTAAAATTTGTTTACTAGGTTGTAGGAGATTGTTCGTAAAATTAGTTCTCTTTTTAGGTCAGTTTATTCGTAGGTCATTTTTAAACTTGTTAAGTCAAATTATAGGCCATGTCCTAATTTATGGTTTTAATTAATAGCTTTCAGTAAAACTGTCAGATTTTATTTTATGTTGTTGCTGTTATGTGCCGTCGAGTCGGACCCGACTCATAGTGACTCCACCTTGGGTTTCCGAGGCAGTATCATTATGGAAGTAGATTGCCCCATCTTTCTTCTGAGGAGTGGCTGGTGGATTTGAACCGCCAGCCTTCTGGTTAGCAGTCAGATGCCTTAGGCACTTTGCTACCACAGCTCCCTTTATTTTATAGCACTAATTATAAATTTAGAAAAATTGGTTATCTAGTATCAAAAATGTTTGTAATAAGTAGATTCTCCAGTTCTCTGACAAACTGCATGTTTACTACTTTTTTTTTTTTTTATTCTGTCAGGAGAGAAACCACCTAACTACAATCATAAACTACTTCTAAATATTTTCAAAGAGTTAGTAATGCAAGTCTGTCTTAATAGAATTTTTAAGATCTCTCTATATAATAACAAAGGAATATCAAGTTTTTTGTTTTTGTATTAAACCTTTGGAATGTAGAGTAAATGTGTTTCCAACTTAAGAAAATCAAGAGTCTATTCTTTAATAATGTAACAATCCATGTAGTACAACATCCCCGACATTTGATTTGTTTGAACCTTATTCTTAAAGTTTCTTTATGATTATGAGGGGCTTTATATTTTGCAGCAAATCAGTGATTCTTAAAAAAAAATTATGAAGAAGTAAATATGACTCAATTTTTAAGTTGTAAAGGAGAGAAAATAAAGCTGAGGAAGTTGTGACTTACTTGCTTAGCATTATCTGACTGAACTATGTCTCAGTATGACCTAGCCATGTACCTTCTGTACATGCAGACACTTGTTCATACTCAAGTCCAGCAAAGATTTTTATATCTCTAGGGTTGCTATAAGTCAGAATCGACTCAGTTTTTTTTTTTTTTTTTTTTTAATGTGCTTAGTAGTAACTAAGGAGCTCTGGTGATAAAGTGGGTAAGATATTTGGCTGCTAACCATAATGTCAGTGGTTCCTACCCACCAACTGCTCCAAAGGAGGAAGATGAGGCAATGTACTTCTATAAAGATTTATAGTCTTAGAAACCCAATGGGGGTCACTATGAGTCAGAATCGACTTGATAGTAGTGGTGGGTTATAGTAGTAACTAAAGGGGGGTCTCTTACTCTTTAATTGGTTATAATTTTTGTTTTTAGACTTGAATTTTAAAGAAAAAACTTCTATGATGAATTTATTTCTTTGTATATTTTTGTTACAGTAACAAATAGAAAAAAATGAGTGAGTTAAAAATTCAACAAACTATTTTTCTATGCTTTGTCAACTTCCTGCGCATACATCATTTTAATATAGTTTAATTGTAGCATAAATGTAATTTTGTGTGAATCATTATTTCATAATTTATTTCACCATTATCCTGTTGTTGGACACTTAAGCAGTTTTTAGGTTTTTTCCATTATAAATAATGCTGTAATGAATATCATCATCTAGTTTTCCTTCTTTTAGGTTATTTTTTTTAGAATAAATGCCCAAGAATAATATTACTAGGTCAAAGTGCAAAAAAATTTTAAGACTTCTTATACTTATTGGCTGGAGCTCTGGTAGCGTAGTGCCTAAGGCATTTTACTGCTAACCAGAAGGCTGGCGGATCAAACCCACCAGCCACTCTTTGGAAGAAGGGTTGGGCAATGTACTTCCATAGTGATACTGCTTAGGAAACCCAAGGAGGGGTCACTGTGAGTTGGGTCCGACTCCACTTTACATAACAACACAACAACAACATACTTACTGGCAAGGAAACTCTGGTGGAACAGAGCCTAAAGCGTTTGACTGCTAACCAGAAGGTTGACAGTTCAAACCCACCAGCTGCTCTGTGGAAGGAAGATGAGGCAATCTACTTTTATAAAGATTTACCGCCTAGGAAACCTAATGGAGGTTGCTGTGAGTCAGAGTTAACTCGATGACAGTGGGTTTGGTTTTGGTTTATGTTTATTGGCCGATGGTTTTATCATTTTTCATTGCCATGAGCAGTGTATGGCTATTTTTACTACAGCTTCTATAGCCCTGAATATTATCATATTGATTTATTATTTAGTAGTTACAAACGTGAAATATTCTTACAGCCTTCACTCTTTTGATTTCTAGTAAGAATGAAGTTATTTCTATGTATACTTGCAAATTATTTGTATATTGTTTACATAATTTTGGTTTTATTTTTAAAGACTTAGAAGAGCAACACTCTAAACTTTTTAAAAATTAATTTATATTTATTATTTTCTATTAAAGCACCTTTAAGAGAGGTTGAAGATACAGGTTTTGATAAACAGAAATCACCTTTGGAGACACCAGCACCTCGGAGGTTTGCTCCTGTGCCTGTTTCAAGGGATGGTAACATATCAAGGAGAGAATATCCTATGGAAGAAAAAGAAAATATGGAGGTGTCAGGTCATAGAGGTAATAGAGCAGTTATAAATAGAACCCACTGATTTTACTAGACTTGTCTTAAATTAGGAAATAGTCCGAGCTCCTTACTCATAATTTAGAGTTCTCTATGTGCTAAAGACTAAGATACGCCTAACCCACACCATGGTATTTTCAGTACTATCATATGCACGTGAAAGCTGGACAGTGAATAAGGAAGATCAAAGAAGAGTTGATGCCTTTGAATGTGGTGTTAGTGAAGAGTACTGAAAATACCATGGACTGCCAGAACAAATCTGTCCTGGAAGTACAGCCAAAATGCTCCTTAGAAGCAAGATTGGCCAAACGTCATCTCACCTACTTTGGTCATGTTGTCAGAAGAGACCATTCCCTGGAGAGGGATATCATGCTTGGTAAAGTGTAGGGTCTACAGAAAAGGGGAGGACCCTCAACAAGATGGATTGACACAGTGACTGCAAGGATGGGCTCAAGTATAGCAAGGATTGTGAGGATGGCACAGGATTGGTTAGTGTTTTGTTCTGTTGTACATAGGGTCGCTGTAAGTCGGAGCCAACTCAACGGCAACTAACAATATGTGCTAAAGTGCTATAGTAACTGCAGTGGGATTTCTGTTTTTAATGTTTTTCTTTGAATTATATATATTGGGTAAAGCAAACTTCTTTAGATTCTTTGTAGTAGGAGTTAGAGGTATACATTTATAGCATTAGTGCCTAAGGCACTTGACTGCTAACCAGAAGGCTGGTGGTTCAAACCCACCAGCCACTCCTCAGAATAAAGATGGGGCAGTCTACTTCCTGTAGTGATACTGCCTCAGAAACAAGGAGGGGTTGCTATGAGTCAGGTCCAACTCGACGGCATATAACAACAACAGCAACAAAATCCTTCCTACAGTTTATTATTTACTTACATGTTTAATGAAAAAAATTTGTTACTAATGAAAAATACTGCTTTGCTGAAGATAAGGCTGATCATTTTTAGAGCATGTTTCTTTCTATTGTCTTTATAGGTGAATTTTCCATAATGAAACCCCCCAAAATTTAACTTTTGTCACTATGTTCAGTTTGGCAAAAGTGCCAATATATGAAGTTATTGATAGAATGAGATCTTTTATAAGTGGCCTGAAATATGAGTACATGCTGTTGTTAGCTGCCATCAAGTCAGCCCTCATGCACAACAGGATCAGACTGTTGTGATCCATAGACCTTTTATTGGCTCATTTTTCAGAAGTAAATCACCAGGCCTTTGTTCATAGTCTTTCTTAATCTGGGAGGTCCCGCTGACCCTAGTCAGCATTACAGGAACACGCAAACCTCCACTGACAAACGAGTGGTGGTTATGCTTAAAAACCAACTCACTGCCGTCGAGTTGTATCTGACTCATAGCGACCCCTCCCTGGGTTTCCAAGGCAGTATCACTATGGAAGTAGATTGCCCAACCTTCCTTCTGAGGAGTGGCTGGTGGATTTGAACCGCCAGACTTCTGGTTAGCAGTCACATGCCTTAGGCACTAAGCCACCAGAGCTACCGTGGTGAGCTTGAGCCCTTCTAATGAAAGTGAATTTGTTAAACTATAAACTTCAATGCTTGGGATCCTATAAAGGCATTCAAGTCTTATCTTGTCACATTTAAAGAGTTTCAAGGAATTAAAAGGCTAAAATGTTTAATAAATCAACCTTACCAAAAAATTTATTTTCTCCTAAAGATGAGTTAGTAGTTGCTGTGAGGAAACATAAAACTTTTCACTAATTTATAAAAGTAGCCCAATTTGCTGGGCTTTGTCATGAAGATATTTCTCATTCCAATTTCTTTTCCCACTGGTGGAAATAAATTGAGACCTAAATTTCCCGATATAATTTTCATGACAAATTGATTGGATGGCAACTGGTATTGTTAGAAATGTATCTCACAAATATAAGGGAGATATTACAGAAAAGAAAAATGAATTAGACTGAAAAATGATTTTATTTCTTCTGTTACAGGAAATGTAAGACTGTTGGAACAAATTTTGAATAGCAGTGATACTCTAACAGGAAAATGTGAATCTTCAGAAAAATCCTCAGTAACTATGTCAAATGTAGGATGGAATCCTGAGAGGAAAGACAGGTAAAATTAAGAGATTGGAATGAAAACTAGATTGAAAAGAGCTTTGTTAGTATTTCTAAAATTCATTTAGGAATTTTAGTAAATTACAGTATTGCTTTTGCAAATATGGTGGATTTAGTTACCATTTCTTGCTACTGATACGGCTTTTTTTCTGTATTTATAAAACTAATATATCTTATTTTTTCAAAATGTATTTTATTAATTTCTAATTGTATCTGGCATTTGCTTAAAAATAACCCCATACAGGGTAGGGAAAAGAAGGATAAGGGAAGGCATATACCTTTTCTTTCATCTGTAGATGAAAGAAGAATGATAACGAGTTAATGATTAAAATAATTAAAAGCAAAAATACATTTATGATATCTTTTATATTTACTTATAGCCTACCTTTACGAGTACTCTTTTTTTATTTCATCTTTGGATTTAAGTTAATAAAAGGATTCTTTTATTCCAGCCTGTAAAACCTTTAGTTTTCCTTGGGAGTGTGTCTGTTAGCAATGAATTCTCTGTTTTTGTTTACCTGGGACTAGCTTACTTTCACATTCATTTTTGAAGAAAAATTTTACCAGATAGAGAATTTTTTTGGTTAACTTTTTTTTCTTTCAATGCTTTGAGTATGTCATCTCACGGCTTTCTGAACTCCGTGGTTCCTAATGAGAAACCAGCTGTTAATCTTATTGAGGATCCTGTGTATGTGATGAGTCATTTTTTTTCTGCTGCCTTCAAGATTCTCTTTTTGTGTTAGGCTTTTGACAGTTGGACTGTGATGTGTGTAAGTGTGGGTCTTTTTAATTTATCCTGTTTGGGGTTTGTTGAGCTTCTTGAATGAGTAGGTAAGTTCTCATTTGGGAAGATTTGTGGTCATTGTCTCTTTAAATTCTCAAATAATGCACATGCCCTTTCCCTTTCTCCTCTTTTTCTGGGACTACACTGTATGTTGCTATACTTGATGGTGTCCTCAGATCTCTAAGGTTCTGTTCATTTTTCTTCATTCTTTTTCTTTCTGTTCCTCAGACTGGGTAATGTCACTCTGTCTTCAGATATGCTAGTTCTTTTGCATTTCAGTTCAAATATGCTATTGAGCTTCTGGAGTGAATTTTAAATTTTAGTTGTTTTGTTTTTCAACTCCAGAATTTCTACTTTTTTTTTTTTTTTAATAATTTCCACGTCTTCATTGATATTCTCTATTTGGTGAGATTTTATTCCTATACTTTACTTTTTTGAATATGATTTCCTTTGGTAATATCTGAATTCTGTTCTGAATTTCCTGCTGTGCCTAAACTTGTCTGGTAATTTTGTCTTGTGATTTTGTTTCTCATATGTTTGAACACATAACTGATTAATTTCATTGCACAGTTCTAATAGGATACTATTTAGTAATGTGTAACTGAGAATGTAACAAAGATTTATGTAATCATATGTTTATTGAATTTATGAAATTTAGGAAACTTCTTTTTTTTTGTAAGTCCAGTATATGGATTGGAATTCCTCAAGGACAATTTCTGTTGACTCTGAATGAGCCATACATACTGTGCTTTTTCCTGTGTATGGGACACATATACTTACTTGCTTCTTTGTGTGTCTCATAATTTTTTTAACATAGTGTGGCAATATGGAAATCAAATCTCTTTTCCACCAGGGTTTGTTGTTACTGCTGGTTTTTTTTAATGACTTTCTTGGACTAATTCTATTAAGTATGTATTCTTTGTATATGTAGCCATTGAAGTCTCTTTTTAGTTAGTTTAGCCAGATAATGAGTGGAAAGAGATTTCCTTAACCTTGAACCAAGAAGGGTTCTTATCTTTATCAAAGGAGTTTGTTTGGGCATGCTTTTGAGTGTTCTGGTGATTTATAAGTCTGCCTTGGTCTTCCTTCACTTCCTACTTATACATAGCTTTAGAGTCTGCCAGATGTAAGAGGTCAGGTCCTTCTTAGGTCTTTCCTTAGCATGCCACAGCCAGGCACAGGACCTTCTAGATCCTAAGGAATATAGTGGAGCTGTTCAAAGCCCCCTCGGAACATCTAATTCCCCACATTTTTAAAGTTTTTGGCCAACCTCTTGTTTACCTCAACTGGTATTGCAACCTCAGGCATTTGTCACTGATGTTTTTCAAAAAGTGCCCTGGGGATAAGGTTTCTCACTCTCAGTCAAGTCAAATAAGGACAAGACCTGTGAATGAAACTTTTGGAAGAGTTTCAAACCCGTTCTGTGCCTTTTAGTGGCTGTGAGGCTGTTGGTTTTCATAGCTATGATGATTGTGATACTGTTGGTTTTCAAGGCTACTGCAGAGCTGAGGAAGAGCAGGTGGAATTGAGATATGTTAAAAATGCCAGAAAGCCTGTTGGTTTCACCAAGAGTTTTTTTTTTTTTTTTAAACAATTTTTGCCAATTTCTTGTTCCTTTTACGGGAGACTAGATTTTCAGAGGTTCTTATTCCACTATTCTAGTAGTATTTCTTTCTTAAAACAAAGCTTTTTTCTGCCCTTTTCCTGCTGTGCCTAAACTTGTCTGGTAATTTTGTCGTATGATTTTCTGTTTTTCATATGTTTGAACACGTAAGTGATTAATTTCATTGCACAGTTCTAATAGGATCCTGTTTAGTAATGCATAACTGAGAATGTATCAAAGATTTATGTAATCATATGTTTATTGAATTTATGAAATTTAGGAAACTTCTTTTTTTCAAATCGTCTATAGCACTGGCACTCTACCTTCTCAAACATTTCCTTCCTGTGAAGAGCCAGGAACAACTAAAGTGACTATGCAGAAATCTGATGATGACCTTCACGATCTTCACCAAAAGAAGAGTGGAACAACTGACATGCTTCAGGTAAAGTGGGAACAGGCTGTGAACACTGATGCTAAAGATAAAAATTATGAAGGAATAAAAAAGTTACGGAGACAGAAAATTAGGGGTAAAGATAAAGACAAGGCACTGAAAAAGGCCTGTCAGCCACATGTGTTCCTTTTAAAAAGCTTTCCAGAACCAATAACTGAGTCACATAGCCATCTCTAGCATTCCATCTTCTTTTGTAGAAGAAGGAAGGAGGAAGTGGGTCATGAATTGCCGTTGTTTATCCATTCCACGATGTCAGCCATACCTACCTATAGCCACCTTGCTCCTATTTTGTTTTGGCTTTGTTCCCCAGGAATAGCGTCTAACAGTCATTGTAATGCCTAGCACTGCTGGGGATTTCCCAGCTTTTGTCATTTAACACTAGTAGTAACATTAGGCTAGCCAGAATGTTACTGGTTCAAACCCACCAGCTGCTGCGAAGATGAGGCAGTCTTCATCTTCGGAAGTAAATCTTGGGAACCCAGTGAGGGGTCGCTATGAGTTGGAATCAACTCATTGGCAGTGAGCAGGTTTTAGTGATACTGCCTCAGAAACCCAAGGAAGGGTCGCTGTGCGTCAAGGATCCGACTTGATGGCAGTGTTTGGTTGGTTGGTTAAATGTAAAGAAATCTTAATTGCTGGGTGTTCTTCTGTGACACTTCAGTTTCATACATGTAGGTGTTAAGATATATCGCTAAAGTATATTGCCCCAACAATAGTAATAGCTCTTATTTGGATTATAACTGTAATAAGGTATGAGTTTTACGTAGTAACATTTTTGCCTTTTTTTTCCCCAGAAGCCAAAAGCATCTTTGATTATGTCAAGGCTCACTGATCTTCCACAGAATTCAGTTAAACTTCAGACAACTAAAACAACAAGATCCGTATTGAAAGATGCAGAGAAGATTTTGAGAGGAGTACAAAACAATAAAAAAGTACTTGAAGAAAACTTGGAAGCTATTATTCGTGCAAAGGATGGAGTTGCCATGTATTCGTTTATCAGTGCTCTGTCTACCAATAGGTAGGGTATAGAATGATGCAATCCTAAGGTTGTTTCATGAAGCTGCCAGTGTTACAGGCTTTCTTAATTTTTTCCGTAAGCATTTCATTTTACTTAATGTGCATTATTGTTTAGAAAAGGCTCTTTTTTATCTTTTAAAATGTGAATTTTATTACAGTGTTGAAATTTGTACTTACATGTGGAATAACTGATGGAAAATTTCCTTCTGTTTCATTTTTTTTTTCTCTGATACATCTCTTCTGGGATCCACATGTATGTTTCAAATGTATATCCTTCAGACTTTGGTTGAAGACTACTAGCATTGGTGTTTCCTTTTAAAATGAAGGATATTGGGCTATACTATAGACTCAAAACTAGGTAAGAGGTGGATTTGATCAAAATCCTATTCTCAGGCCAGTAAGTGCTAATTTAGGAAAAATACCCTTTTCTCTTTTATAGAGAGGTGTCAGAGAAGATTCGGATCAAAAAGATAGTAGATGAGTGGATTAAGACTATTTCTGCAGAAATTCAGGTATGTCTAGAAAAAAACTGAGAATTAGGTGACTTTTCAGAAGATAACACTGATTCAGGTATGTCTAGAAACTGATTCCAATTTATGAATATTTAAAAACTATTCCTTATATGTAAGTCTACTTATAAATTGTTTATTATTATTATTATTATGTTTTGTAATTGTGATTTGGGTGAAAGTTTATAGAGCAAATTCACTTTCCATACAGCAGTTCACATACACTTTGTCTTATGACACTGACTACAGTTTACCACAATGCAATAGCACCCCTCTCACCTCCCCATAGTTACCTTTTCCCTTTGTCCATCCCTTCATGCACTCCTGCCCCCTGAGTTGTCTCCCTGTGCATAAACAGCCTTTTTATTCTCCCATGATTTATTCTCCCATGATTGCTCTCTCCAAGGAGTGTATCTACCTAATGTAAGTGTTCACCTCATATGCCTATCTTTTGTTTGGCTGGAAGCCACAAGAGTGGGTTCAGTTCCAGATCTGAGGGGCAGCTAGAAGCCATAGTCTCAGTGGTTCCATCAGGCTCTATCCGACCAGCAAATCTGGTCCCCTTTTTTTTTCAAATGATTTTGAATTTTGTTCCATATTGTTTTCCCACTCTATCCAGGATCTCCTACCTATATCTTCCTCAGAGTGGTTGACAGTGGTAGTTGGGCATTAATTTTTTTGTGTGTGTGTGTGATTTGGGTGAAAATCACCCAATTTTTTTTGTCATTTACCATATAGCAGTTCATACACATTTTATTTCATGACATTGACTGCAGTCCCCACAATGTAACAACTCTCTTCCCACTTCCTCCCTCTAGTTACCTCTTCCCTGTGCCCTTCCTTCCTGCCCCATGAGGTATCTCCCTGTGCAAATATTGCCCTTCTGATCGCTCATGATTGGTCATTCTAATGAGTATACCTGCCTGATGTAAATGTTCACCCTATATGCTTGTCTGTTATTTGGCTGGAAGCCATGAGAGTGAGGTTAACTAGGGGCCATGATCTTGGGGGTTTTATCAGACTCTATCAGACCAGTAAGCCTAGTCTTTTTCATGATTTTGAGTTTTCTTCCACTTTGTTTATCCACACTGTCCAGGATCATCTTCACTGACCCCTTCCCAATGGTTAACAGTGGTAGCTGGGCACCATATAGTTCTTTTGGTGTCATGGTCGAATAGGCTGAAGTTCTGTTAGTCCCTTGGACTAATTGTTCCCATGTGTCTTTGATTTTCTTTGTTCTTCTTTGCTCCAAATGAGGAGAGACCAATTGTTGCATCTAGATGGTTGCTTGCAAGCTTTTAAGACCCTGTTTGCTACTCGCCAAAGTAGGATGTAGAGCAATGTTTTTTTGTAGTATGTTATGCCAGTTAAGCTTGATGTCCCCTGCAATGATGGCCCTGAGCCCACGGGTCCAACAACTTGCTCCATCACAGTGGTTGACTGTGGCTAAGAAGTTATTGTAACTGCCACTGTTATTTCTGTTTATATGGACATTCTTACAGCATATACAAATAGTATGTAGAAATATTGTCTGCCAGTCTGATATCTGGTCATGTGTATATTCCTTTTTGCCTAGACATACCTGGTTATTCAGCCTGTCTACCCATCTGTTTATGCATAGATTACTGTTTGTTATCACTGATAACACAACTGTGTAAGTCAAAGTGTTTATCATTGTTGTCTATACCTCTTGTGTACCTCTCTGGGTCTTCCTTTTCCTTAGTGTTATTGTGTTGGTCATTTGATTTGGTATATTGCCTTTCCCTTTACCCAAATCTAAATCTTACCTATTTAGAAATTATCTGGTGGAAAGTCTACTTGTACCTTCTTAATTTCACTCTATCACTGTTTATATTTACTTATAATAATTTTATTTAAGAAGTAATGTATCTCCAGTTATATACACGTACGGCAAATTGGTGGATGTAAGTAATTAAGAGAAAATTTAGCAAAAGCATTTAGAAAAGAAAAGAAGTATACATTTGACCCTTGAACAACTTGGGTTTGAACTGTGCAGGTCCACTTATATGTGGATTTTTTTTTTAAGGATTAGTACTGCAAAAACGGCAAGGAGGCCACATGTTCTGACCTCCTAGAACCCCACAAGAGGAAGACAGGATTACCAGCAGTAACCCAAGGCCTATTACTGCAAGGCCAGACATGCTGCCTCCCTCCAGCCCTTTCACCAACTGTTCCTCCCAAAGCACCTGCCACCGTTCTCCTGGGTTCGATAATTCGCTGCAGTGGCCACATGGAGCTCACAGATTATGAGGTTTATTAGGGAAGCACCAGACTACAATTCAAGTTCAGGAAGAACGCTCGGTCTCTCTCCCGGCCCACCGTCCCTCAGCCAACACTCTCTCACAGTCTCTTTCCCAGCAGTGCTGGTCCCTCAGTGTCTTACTCAGCAATGCGTGTTTCTTGAGCCTCTTTCCCAGCAGCACGTGTCTCTTTCCACAGCATGTCTTCCTCAACCAGCAGTCAGAGCGAGTTCTGCCTCTAGAAGGCCTCCTTTTGAGTCTGGCAGGGTGGTCAAACTAGCCAATCATAGCATCAGAACTCTAAGCACCTGAGAGAGTGGGCACCTCCCAGAACATTGTTCTGTGCCACTCCCAACAGAGATACTCCAGGTGGACAACTTTAGCAATCAGGAGCTCCTCAGTTGCTCATAGAAAATCCCACCTTGGAATTTACAAAGACTTAAGGGGTAGAAAAGCCACACTAAGTAATTTATTACACCGCAAGTACCATTTAATAAAATGTGCAGAAACATAAAAAAGCAAAAAAGTCAGATAGAAATTATAATGTATTTCTGTAAAGTTATACTGAGTGTGCCTTCCTCTCCTTCCTCCTCTCCTAACTCATCACCTCTTCTGCCTCTAACACCCCTGAGACAACAGGACTAGCTCCTCTTCCTCCAACTCCTCCCTCAGCCTACTCAACATGAAGACCTTTCTGATCATCCACTTCCACTTGAAAAGTAGTAAATAATCATTATGTCATATAGTAAGAAACTTACCTGTTGTGTATGTGTGAGTATCTTTGTGTGAAAACCCAATAACTGAATGGCAAAACCTATTAATCAACTCTTCATGTTATTGGTAAGGTTTCTGGGCAACAGTAGGCAATGAGTAATTGAGTTTTTGGAGAGTCAAAAGTTATATGTGGATTTTTAACTGCTCAGGGAGTGGTTAGCACCCCTAACCCCCACGTTGTTCAAAGGTCAAGTGTGCTTACAAAGATGTTTTAAGACAGTGGTTTTAGAAGCATTGGCTTGCTAAAGTAAACACAACAAAAGTAAAGGGAAAAACCTCTACAGGTTTTCCAAGGTGACTACATTTATAGAAGTCAATTCCAGATGGAAAAACATGTACTTGCTCACATGATTATTATATTCAAAAAGGTCATGGTATATCTATCTTCAGTGTGGGAAAGCTATTCTTATTAGATGATCAGTAATTTAAAGGAGATTTTTAAAGTTTTATGTATATGGGGGGCAGACAGACAGGGTAAAACTCTGTTTTGGTTGTTTCTCTTAGACTGCAACTTGTTTTTTTCCTGACTGAGATGTAGCTTAGGGGCCTACTCATATAGTAGCAAGTTACAGTGTCAGTTTTGTTTCTGTAGCAATAAACACTGAAATATATTTTTAAGCATTGTTTAAGAATATATATCTCTAATGCAGAAATAGAATTATGAAGAATTCATTTTAGCTACTGTATTATGCAGCAGAAAAAGTTGAAATAACAGTTAGAATATGTATAATATAGTTTTGGCTTTACAGCCAACTGGCAATAAATGTCAGTCTGTTGCTATGAATGCCACGAAAATACGTTTGTTTAAACCTTCAAGTAATTTTAATTTATAAAAATTTTTTTCAGAGTGCTATTATAAAATTGTTTACTTTCTTGGAAACACTTCAAAATTTTTATTTATTTTTGGCAAGTTGTGTAGATTTATTGAGGGTTTCATGGAGAGAGGGAAACACTTTTTAATTTAAATTTTTAAACAGTTGCTACTTTCTTATGATTGAAGCATCAAGAAATATAAAAAGGTTTATAGTGAAAAGTTATCCTTTCAGTCCTGTATTTCCCATCTCTTCTCCTCCATAAGATACGAGTCTTTTCAGTTTCCTATTTGTCCTTCCATGGAATTTTTACTAACGTGTAAGCCAGTATGCTTTATTTATAAAGCTGACTGCTAAACTATATTTTTGTAATAGCAGAAAATAAACTCTCTTTTTTCTATATATGAAAACCTTGCTGCTTGGATACATTTTAAGTAATTTTGATTTTGATTATGTTAAGGATGAGCTGGCAAGGAAAGATTACGAACAAAAGAGATTTGATCAGAAGAATCAAAGGACCAAGAAAGCACAAAATATGAATCAAAATACTAAAACCAGCATTCAAGACAAAACCATGAAGAATGCCATAATTCCAGGAAAACATTGTCAAAAACAAGCAGAGGAGTATTTTAGAAATCCACCTATGAAGAACATGCCTGCTTCAAGCTTACAGAAGGAGAGAAAAGAAGTAAGATTCTAATCTACTTTTATTATATAGATATTACATTATAGTCAGTAATTTTCATTTAGATGCAAATGATCAAGTGAATATGAAAATGTTTTTGAAATATGAAGGACTGTACACTTGTAAACTCTTTAAAATGTTGGTATTTAGGGTTATGAATATCTATAATGTGGAAGACACTGCACACAAAATACATAGTTCCTTCCTTCTGAGGAACTATGTATCTCAAAGCTGAGAATCATAGATTTTAGTTATAGCAGATATACAGTATATCTGGGAGTTCTGGTGGTGTAGTGCCTAAAACATTTGACTGCTACCCAGAAGGCTGGCAGTTGAAACCCACCAGCCACTCCTCAGAAGGAAGATGGGGCAATCTACTTTTGTAGTGATACTACCTCGGAAACCCAAGGAGGGGTCACTATGAGTCGGATCTGACTCAACAGCAGTGGGTATTTGGGTACAGTATATCTAGAGAACACCTTGTCCAAAAATTAAATTCTCTAGTTAACAGTACTCAGGGTTACAGTTCATCTTTGTGTGTGTATATTTATATTTTGTTTGTTTATTTTTAAATTCAACAAGTGTATGTTTTGGGCCTAGTGAGTATGAGGCATAGTACTATGGAGTGCTACATAGGGAATTTGTTAGCTACTTTAACTAGGCCATAAAGTTCTTAATGCCAAATGTGGGGTTTTAGGAAGATCAGTGAAATATCTAATTCAGTGATTGGCACTTAGTAGATGCTCAATAAATGCTATCTTTTTCTGAGGCATTTAACTTATGATAAAAGAGGGGATTAGGAATGTAGAAAATCATTTAAAGACTCAGTTTATCGTTACACTTGAAAGTTTTAAATTTGTCAGGTGTCTTGAAACATTACATTTGATACTGAATATATACTTGGTAATGTAAGAATCCTATGGTGCTTAGATGGATGACTTTTTTTTTTTAACTTTTTATTGTGATTCGGGTGAGAATTTACAGAGCAAATTAGTTTCCCATTCAAGAATTCATACATACTTTGTTTCATGACATTGATTGTAATTCCTACCATGTAGCAGCACTCTTTCCACTTCTTCCCTGTGTTTCTCATTTCCATTCATCCTTCTTTCCTGTCCCTGACTTCTGAGTTTTGTCCCTGGGCAAATGCTTCCTTTTTGGTCTTGTACGGTTGATTGTTCTAAAGAGTGTGTACCTCTCTGGTGTCATTGTTCACCTTATAGGCCTGTCTGTTGTTTGTCTGAAGGATGATCCACAGGGGTGAGTTCATTTCCAGACTTGAAGGTGTCTGAGGGCCATAGTCTTAGGGGTTCTACCAGAGTATCAGACCAATAAGCCTGATTTTCTTTTTTCTTTTTATGATTTTGCGTTTTATTCCACATTTTCTCCCACTCTGTCCAGGATCTTCTATTATGATTCTACTCAGAGCTGTTAGTAGTGGTAACCAGGTACCATCTAGGGTTTTTTTTTTGTTTTTTTTTTTTGTCTCAGGCTAGTAGAGGCTGAGGTTCGTGTGCCCTTTGGACTATTTGTTAAAATGCATCTTCGATTTTCTTCACTTTTCTTTGCTCCAGATGGGGAGAAACCAGTAGTTGCATCTTAGATTGCCATTCTCAAGCTTTTAAGACAGTTGCTACTCAATAAAGTAGTCTTTGTGTTCTTTGTTATGTCAGTTGACCTCTAAGACTATGGTCCTATAAGCCTTCTGGCCCAGTGTTACTCATTCCCTCAAGATATTTGGTTATGGCTGAGAAGTTTTCATCATTTTTCCCTTCTGTATGCTCTACTATATACATTGATATATTTGTAGCATATATAAATACATATGTAGAAATATCCTCTGCCAAACTATACATAGATGACTTTTATATTTAATTTTCATTCTTTTTAAGCACATATTTAAGAACTATATCCAGAATTGAAGGGTACCTTAAAACAAAAGACTTTTCTCACCTGATCGTTCTCAATATAGTAAGCTAGAAAAATGAGGTAAATGCATGTTAGATGACTGTTCTCTTGGTGAGTTGAATAACTTTGACTATATACATAGGGACTTTTGAAAGCAACCACAGTGAAACAAGATGAGAGTTATATGTTACAAATTTATGGAAAACCAGTTTATCAGGGCCATCGCAGCACTCTTAAGAAAGGACCATATCTCAGATTTACTTCTCCTTCTCCCAAATCCAAACCACAGATACCAAAAGTAATAGAACGAGTTAAAGGTAAGGAAACTCATTTTTTTTTTTTTTTGTAGTAAACCTCATTTTTTTATAATCATTTTAATATGTATGTAAAGTTTCATTTTTATTTCCCTTTAATTTATTATTTATAAATAGAGTTCAAATTATATATAGTTAGAGATGGAAAAATAATTCCTTCTATGAAAGGTGTAAAGTCTGGAACAAAGATCAAAGCACAAGGTAGGAGTAAGTAAAAAAGAAATGTAGGGTTAGAAGTTATCTTCAGATAAAACATCATAAAAATTGTATTTATGAGATGATAAGTCTGAAACGATCTAACCACAACTTACCTGTTGGTTTGTTATATTTTGGTGACTTCTGTGTTTCTGTGGTACTGGAAGGTTTGCCATCAGTAGTTCAGATACCAGCAGGGTCACCCATGGTAAACAGCAGAGCTTCTAGACTAAGACTGACTAGGAAGAAAAGCCTGGCAATGTGCTTCCGAAACTTGTCGCTGTTCTTGTTAGGCACCATCCAGTTGGTTCTGGTTCATAACAACCTGTGTACAACAGAGCAAACACCACCTGGTCCTGTGCTATCCTCACAGTCGTCATTATGCTTGATTCCATTATTGTAGCCACTGTGTCAATCCATCTCCTTGAGGGTCTTTCTCTTTTTTGCTGACCCTCTACTTTACCAAACTGATAACCTTTTCTAGGGACTGGGCCCTCCTGATAACATGTCCAAAGTATGTGAGATGAAGTCTTGCCATCCTCACTTCTAAAGGAAGTTCTAGCTGTACTTCTTCTAAGGCAGATTTGTTTGTTCTTCTGGAATACTCAGTATTCCATGGTATATTCAGTCCATGGTATATTCAGTATTCTTCATTAACACTATAATTTGGCATCAATTCCTCTTTCGTCTTCCTTACTCATTGTCTAGCTGTCACATGTGTATGAAGTGATTGAAAATATCATGGGTGGGATCTCACACACCTTAATCATCAAAGTGACATCTTTGCTTTTTAACACTTTAAATAGACCTTTTGCAGCAGATTTGCCCAGTGCAAATTGATTTCTTGATTGCTGCTTCTGTGGGTATTGTTTGTGGATTGAAGTAAAATGAAATCCTTGACAACTTCAGTCTTTTCTCTGTTTATCCTGATGTTGCTTATTGGTCCATTTGTGAGGAATTTTATTTTCTTTAGGTTGATGTATGAGCCATACTGAAGGCTACAGTCTTTGATATCCAGAATATTTGATATAGTGTTGGAAGATAGGTCCCCTAGGTTGGAAGGCACTCAAAATGGACACTGGCCACAGTAATGGAGTGGAGCATACGATGATGGTGAAAATGGCACCAGATTGGGCAACATTTTGTTCTGTGCATGGAGTCACCATGAGTTGGAGCCAACTCAGTGGCAGCTAGCAACAACAGTCTAAATTATAATGTGGAAGAATGAACACTTCCTTGAAGACCTTGGTTCGTTATGTTCTTATGAGTAGAAATGTCAGCCATATATAGTGTATTATCATAAAAGAGTATATGTGCACTTCTATAGTTTTGTTTGTTTATTCTCAAAGAGCCTTTGGTGGCAAAGGTGAAATTCTATTACTTTTGTATGCAGTTAAGAGTATCACTGCATATTTTGACTTACATCTACCATTTCAGTGGCTGTATCTAAATATAATTGACATATCTAAATTTAACATTGGTTAAATATTGAGTCTTCCTTTTTAGAAGTTGGAGCCCTGGCAATTGCTTCAGTCCCCTCTTCTTCCTAAAGTTAAGTGAGCATATAGGATGCCAAGTTATCCAGAAATTGTACTGATACTATTTCTGTAAAGCATCTAGGTTATTAATGATATTTACTTTAATACTTTCTCTTATTGTAACTTTGCTATCAACATACATTTGGGGATTTGGAAGTCTTTGTAAAAAAATAACTTGAGGTTTTAAAATGCATTCAAATCCCAACAAACAACCCTGATTTGATAGCTTTTTCAATAGTAGAAGTGGGCCTTGGTACCGGGTATCTTCCTTCATCCATTGTCGTGGCTTATTCTCAGTTCATTTGGATCTCTGCTCTTAGGTGTTAGCTCCTCAAAGAGATCCACTCCAATCATTTTATCCAAATAATCATCTCCTGTCCTTCTCTAGCCCCTCGCATTGCCTAATAGTTCTTCATAGCCCTTTCCTTATCTGATATAATATTTTTATTTGCTTGTTTTCCTTACTCTACTGTAAGTTCCATGAGGATAGTTGGTTTATTCAATGCTATATTCCCTGTGTCTGGAACAATGCCTAACATATTCACTATTGAACAAATACATTTTAAATAAACACTCAATAAATATATTCTTCTGAAGAATGAATGAATATCAGAGAACAGAATGAACAAATACAGCTGTGGTAGTAAAGCAGTAATTTTTTTCTGGGGATCATAAGCAAAATGAAACTATATTTAACATTCTAGATTCATAAAATCACCAATATGTTAAAAATAAAAATGTAGTAGCAGGACATTATTTAGAATGTATTTTAGCCCCATTTCCTTTGTACTTTTTCTTTACATTTCTCAGGTTCCATGGAAATCTATACACTTCTCTAAAAAGACATTCAGCAAATTTCTAATTTTTAAAGAATCAGGGTATAATTTCTATATAGATTTCTTTCATAGGAATGAAAAATGTAGCATGATACTAACTTCTGTAAGGTTTCAAGAGAATAGTTTGGTTATTTGTACATCTATTCAAAGGATAAAGGCTGGTTATTAGAATTATGTCATGGGTATAGGTATAATGGGAAAATGAAAAACAAACTCAAATTGCAAACTGATTGTTAAGTTTTTTTCAGGTATGGAAAAAAACTTAATGAGTTTAAAAATATTGCCTGAATATTCTTCAGAATCTCCATTCAACTTTTTTCTCTAGTTGTTTTATTTATGGTATCATAGTAGCTGTACAAAAAGTACATCTATTCAGAGGTTGGCAAACTAAGGCCTGCAAGCCAGCTGCCTGTTTTGTAAATAAAGTTTTATTGGAGCACAGTCATGTGTATCATTTATGTACTGTCTATGTCTGCTTTCATGCTACATGGCAACATTGAGTGGTTGCAGCTAAGAACTTTGGCACATATGCCTAAGCTTTTTTTTTTTTTAAAGAAAAAGTTTGCCAACCCCTGATCTATATGTTAACTTGTAATTTGTGGGCTATAACTTTATATAGGATGAGATATTTCTATAAAGAAAGAATTGCTGTATTTCTATATGGTTGGATAATAGAAGTTTAAATAATAATCTGCCATTGATGATGATTATAGGCACTAAAGTCAAGTCAATAAGAACACAAACTGACTTTTATACAACAAAACCTGTGAAGGTGGATTCTAAAATACAGCACTCTCTTACTGCCCTGCCTCATGTTGATCAGCAGCAGTATGTGTTTAGCCCAAGCAGAGAACTCCCTACTCATTCAGGTACACTGGAAGGTCATCTAATTCCTATGGCAATTCTTTTAGGTAAGAACCAACAAAATATATTGGGGTAAAATTCAATTAAAACTTATGAATGTATTTTATTTTTATCAGTTGTAGAAGAACTTACAAATAATAGTCACTTACCTTTTTCTGTGGGAGCTCTTGTAGCATAGTGCTTAAGGCACTTGACTGCTAACCAGAGGGCTGGTGGTTCAAACCCACCAGCCACTCCTCGGAAGGAAGGTTGGGCAATCTCCTTCCGTAGTGATACCGCCTCGGAAACCCAAGGAGGGGTTGCTATGAATCAGATCCGACTTGACGGTAAACAACAACAACAACACCTTTTTCTGTATATGTTGTTTTGATCTGTAGGGAGACTCTCACTATGTATCTTATTCTGTGTTGTAGCAATTTCTGAAATGATGGATTTTTGCTGCAGTCTCCCAGAAAGCATTCTTTTAGTATTTGGTATTTTGCTGTAGGTGAAATGAAATAAACAAAATCGGCATGTCATAGATGTTTGTAATAATTTCAGTAATTTTGATTGGTTTGTTAATAATGTTACATGTTAGGGAAAGTTCTTTCAAGCACTTTTAGGTACTGTTTAGTTTTGTTGTGGTAAGCAAAACTTATGTGGTTGTATATTCTGTTTATTTATTTGAGGTTTCTCATCTTGTTAAAAATTGAACAAATCATATTTGCCCTCACACCAGCACTTCAAATCTAGTTAAAAATCATTGATTTTCCTTTTTTGACTTTGATGGATGGTTTAGATATGAGTTTTATTTTTTAACATAAGATAGAGTTTTTAAAATTTTTGATATTCTATATTAATGACTTGTCAACTTGCTAGCTAATGTTTGTTCAAAAGTGCCTTCAAGTACTTTAATGACTAACACTTACAGTCTTTACTGGGTGCCAGGTCGAGTTCTAAGCACTTTATACATTAACTCACTCAATCTACCTTATAAAGTTGGTGGTATTATACTAATTTTTTAGATGAAGAAACTGAGGTAGAAAGGAGTTAAGTAAAGCATCAAAGGACGTACTACTAGAGTTGAACAGAATTCACACCCAGGCAGTCTGGCTTTAGAGTCTGTACTTTTTTTTTTTTTTAGGATTTGGGTGAAGATTTACAGAGTAAATTCACTTTTCATACAGCAGTTCACATATACTTTGTCTCATGTCATTGACCAAAATTTACAATGCAGCAGCTCCCCTCCCACTTCCTCCCCATAGTTACCTCCTCCCAGTGTCCATCCCTTCATACTCTTCTGCACCCTGAGCTATCTCCCTGTGCATAAGCAGCCCTTCCTTCTCCCATGATTGTTCTCTCCAGGGCGTGTGTCTACTTGAAGTAAATGTTTAACTCACATGCCTGTACTTTGTTTGGCTGGAAACCACAGTTGTGGGTTCAATTCCAGACCTGAAGGGCAGCTAGGAGCCATAGTCTCAGTGGTTACACCAGGCTCTATTGGACCAGCAAACCTGGTCCCCACCTTCTTCTTCTTTTTTTTTTTTTGCCTCCAAATGATTTTGAGTTTTGTACCACATTGTTCTCCCTCTTTATGCAGGATCTCCTACATCCCTTCCAAGTGGATGGCAGTGGTAGCTGGGCACCATCTAGTTCTTCTGGTCTCATAGTTGTATAGGTTGCAGATCGGATGGTGTACCAGTCGCTAGGACTGATTGTTTCCATTAATTTTGGTTTTCTTCTTTCTTCTTGACGAGGAGAGACCCGTTGTTGCATCTAGATGGCAGCTTCCTAGCTTTTAAGGTCCCAGTCGCTAGTCGCCAAAGTAGTAGGTGGAACAATGTTTTGTATAGTATGTTATGCCAATTGAGCTTGATGTCCCCTGCGACTATGGTCCCAAGCCTAGAGTCTGTACTTTTAACAAGCATACTGTACTGCCCCCTTTTACTTTGAAATTTAGGAAACAAGTGAAACTTTTGAAGTGAAAGCTAATAAGTTTTTGAAAGTTATGATAGTTGCCAAGTAGAAAGCCTACATGCTATTGGTAGTCAAGCACTAGTATTTTGTTGCTGTTTTATTATTTATGTAAAGAAATTTATTTCATTGTTGCTTTGCTATGATTTGGGAATAAAAATAAAAAATAATGCAATATACTTTTGTCCTGGGACAAATTACATTACATCTCTAAACCTATGTTCCTTAGAATGTGGATAACATCAGTACCTCACAGACTTCTTTTGAGGATTAGATGGCATATATGAAATGTTTGTATAAATAAACAAACAAACAAAAAACAAACCACTGCCATCAAGTCAATTCCGACTCAGAGTGACCCTGTAGGACAGAGTAGAACTGCCCTATAGGGTTTCCAAGGCTGTAAATCTTTGCAGAAGCAGATTGCCTCGTGTTCTACCTGTGGAACAGCTGGTAGGTTTGAACTGTTGACCTTTTAGTTAGCAGACAAATGTGTTAACCACTATGCCACTAGAGGTCCTTCCCTGTACATATAAATACCTAATAAATGTTGTTTGCTGCTGAAAGGATGACTTAGTGAGTATGTTGATAGTGATGATGATGGAGGGAAAGGTGATTGTCAGACAGTAATTTCTTTTCATGTGAGAATTTAGCCACAAAGATCTAGGTGGTGTATTAAATCTTCCCATTTATATTTGAAATAGTTGACTCATTTTCTTCTTCAAACTTCATAGGACAAACCCAGAGTAATAGTGATTCCATGCCACCTGCTGGAGTCATTATAAGCAAGCCACACCCTATAACAGTGACTACTTCTATTCCTCCATCATCTCGAAAACCAGAAACTGGAGTAAAGAAACCTAACATAGCAGTTGTAGAGATGAAGTCAGAAAAGAAGGATCCTCCTCACCTTACTGTTCAGGTATGTCTCAGTGTATTAGCAGAAAATTTTAAAAGTTCTTTTTTTAACATTAGTATTTAAAATCTATTACATTGCTTCTTGACAACTTTACTTTTTTCTCCTTCCTTAAAACTGTGATATTAATGTGATGTCTCTATCTTTGTTCTGTATGATTTGAGCTACCTCTTTTAGCTAGTTATTCATTTCTGGGTGACTGGATAATATTCCAAAGGGAACTATTTAACAGTATATTATAATTAATTTTAAAAGAGTTAACCTATATATATAAATATGTAATTCACACTTCAAACTTCACTCATACAAATATATTGAATGAATGGAGAGAGAAAGCTTACTTCTTTATGTGAAGACTAAATACTCAAGTTGTCAGTTCTTCCCAAGTTAATCCATAATTTTGATTAATAGTTAATTTTAAAAGCATGAGTTTTTTTTTTTTAAATTGAAATTTAGGATGGTTTTGATACCTGAAAGAGTAGAGGGTATAAAAAAATCAAAGGGTATTGTCACTGGTACAGTATAACAGCATTTTACAGATAGCCTATTACTGTTAAAAAGGCTTTAAAAATAATGTAAAATGTGGTGAACACGTGATAAATAGATGAGAAATGGAAGACTTAATGTAAATAAAATAAGGTATATAATAATTGGTTAGTAACATGGGAAAAAAGACTTTGACTTCTACCATTTAGCAATCTAAACTAGTTCCCAATAGACAATGGCTAAAGTATAGTTATAAAATAAGAAAACATAGAAGAATTAGAAGATAATTTGGTAGAAGTTTTATAAAAGCTGAAGCTAAGCCTAGATATGAGAGAAGAAACTTAGATATGATATAAAAAGGGATTTGAATCTAAAAAATAAAAAATTAAATATGTAAAAAATTCTAAATAAAAAGGAGAACATATGAAAGGAATATATTATTAGTAAAGGATTAATTTTTAATTATAAAGATTTCCATAAGAAAAAAATTTTTAAAAAGAAACTATTTAGATACAAATCCAGAAATTTTCGAAGGACATAAATAAGAGTATAAAGAAGAGGAAGTAAAATTTATAAGCAAATAAATCGAATATTTAAAATCTTGCTATTGGTCAAGATAAAGGAAATTAAAATCATAATAATGTACCTCCATTTTTAAACTGTTAATGTTGAAAAAAATTATTTAATTTTGGTAAGCCTTGGATAAAACTTAGAATTGATTATGCATTTGATGGTATGTTTGCTGTTGCTGTTATTTGCCATCGAGTCAGCCCCGACTCATAGCGACCCCTCCTTGGGTTTCCGAGGCAGTATCACTACGGAAGTAGGAATGCCCAACCTTCCTTCCGAGGAGTGGCTGGTGGGTTTGAACCGCCAGCCTTCTGGTTAGCAGTCAAGTGCCCTAGGCACTACGCTACCAGAGCTCCTATAAATTGTGCTTTGCATATAATTTTCAAGTCTTAAATATTCATACCTTATGACTTAAGAAGTTATCCAATACTTGGCTCTCTAGCATAATGAAGTAATTCAAATTTTGGGAAAACCTATATATAAATAAGTTTTTAACAGTAGTATTTGTGATGGTGAAAAAAATTGGGAATATCTTAAATATTTATCAGTAGAAAAAGGACTAAACAGTTCAGGCATATATATGTTTGTTGGAATATTATACAGTCATTTAAAAATGCAGTTTTCAAGTCTGTATATGGCAACATGATAAGGTGCTATAACCTAAAAATAATGAAAAATTTGAGGAATGAAAACTTTTAGATTTTAGCTGTGTACCAATCCAAAGAAATTTGTGTTTCTCCTTTATTTGCTATGTATTTTATAATTTAAATTATAATTTATAATTGGAAAGTTTTGGTATCGAACTTCCCAATAAAGAAATTAAAGGACATGCTTTGTTATCAGCATATAGATAGACAAGTATAGATATTTGAGTTGAAATGATAAGCAAACTGATGTTCTCTTCTGTTTTAGGTATTACCCAGTGTAGATATTGACAGCATTTCTAATGGTAGTGTTAATGTCAGTCCATCTCTTCCTACTCCCAAAGAAGCATCTTCTCCTCCTTGGCAAGCCTGGATACAGGTATTTTTCAGAATTGTACCATACTATTGTTAGCAATGTGTGACTACAGCTTTTAATTAATGTTATTCCATGGATATTTGAACATAACACTCACTAACTGCCACTGAGTCGGATCCACCTCATAGTGACCCCTCCTTGGGTTTCTGAGGTGATATCACTACGAAAGTAGATTGCCTAGTCTTCCTTCTGAGGAGTGGTTGGTGGGTTTCAACCACCAGCCTTCTGATTAGCAGTCAAGTGCTTTAGGCACTACGCCACCAGAGCTCCCATTTGAACGTAAAGAAGATGAAAATCCTTACAACTAGACCAGTAAATGACAAACATCATGATAGATGGCAAAGAAATTGAGGTTGTCAGGAATTTCATTCTTCTTGGATCTAAATCAGTGCCCATGGAAGCGATAGTCAAGAAACCAAATGATGTGTTACATTGAGCAAATCTGCTGCAAAATATCTCTTTATAGTTTTTCAAAGCAAAGATATCACTTTAAAGGTTAAGAAGGTGAGCCTTACCCAGCCAATGGTAATTTTAGTTGCCTCATATACATGAGAAAGCTTGGCAATGGGAAAGGAAGTCCAAAGAAGAACTGATAATTTCAAATTGTGGTATTGGTGAAGAATATTGTGTATACCATGAACTACCAGAAGGATGAAGTATTTGTCTTGGAGGAAGCACAGCCTTAGCAGTGAGGAGGCGAGACTTTGTGTCACTTACTTTGGACACGTCATCAGGAGTGACCAATCACTGGAGAATATCATCATGCTAGTTAGAGGGTCATTGAAAAAGGAGGATACCCTCAACTAGATAGATTGGCACGTTGGTCCATATAAATCAGACCTTGCTCATTGGCACTTAGCAATTCCATATAAAGCCTTCTACTTCTTCTGGGCTCATAGTCATATAGGCTGAGGATCACATGGTATACCAGTCCCTTGGACTAATTGTTTCCATGCATCTTTGGTTTTATTCATTCTTCTTTGCTCTGGATGAGGAGAGACCCATAGTAGCATCTAGATGACTGCTTGCAAACTTTTAAGATACCAGTCACTACTTGCCAAAGTAGGATGTGGAACAATGATTTTGTGTAGTATATTATGCCAGTTGAGCTTAATGTCCCCTGTGACCATGGTCCCAAGCCCACAGGTCCAACTGCTCGCTCCCTCTGGGTAGTTGGCTGTGGCTAAGAAGTGACTATAACCTTGTCTCTTGTCAACTCTACTGTGTACCTGGAAATTCTTACAGAACATATAAATACACTTGTAGAAACCTTGTCTGTCAACCCTATTCATGGGCACACTACCCCCTGCATAGCCATACCTACTTGTTCAGCATATTGACCCATGTATCAGTGTTTGCCTTCATTGACAATGCAGTATTGTATGTGCAAAAGGGTTCATCTTTGTTGTCTGTATTTGCCTTGCACCTCCCTATGTCTTCTTCTTCCTCAATGCCACCTTGTTGATCACTCATATTTGGTACATTGCCCTTCCCTTCACTCAAATCAATAATTGTCTCTACCTGTCTAGTAGTGTCTCCTCCCTCCCCCCCGTCCCCGATAACCAACAAAGAAAATTTCTTTCCATATAGAAACCTTACCTTGACTTTTTACAGTAATGGACTAATACAATATTTGTTCTTCTGTGATTGACTTATTTCACTCAGCATAATGTCCTCCAAGTTCATCCATGTTATGTGGTGTTTTGCAGGTT